CCTTAGTACTGTCAATCCACAGCATGCTAATACCAAGATGACCACTGAACAACATAACTACCGCAGCCACAAACAATACAGCCTAAAGAGTAATTTGAAGGGGAATTTAGGAGAAATACTAAAATACTGAGAATTGCAAGAAAAGAATTACATTGTGAATAAGCCACGTTTGGAAAATATCTCTCATTGTCTCCTTAAGTCAAATCCTGGGAGTCAGTCCCAAACACTGTTCGCTATTTCCCTTCTATTTCTTCTTCTGGTGAAAAGCAATGTATATCTGGCTTCCGAAAATATATGTCTGCATTGCCATGCTATTTTAATAAACATACATTTGAAAAAATGGCATACACTTACTTAGTCTGCCCTTTACATTTCTAGTCTGTCAGACAAAACTCTAAATTTTATCTCTCTACCTAACATAATTCATACTGACAAATTCCCTGACAACTTCTTATATTACCCTCTTTATTCTTAACTCATATTTTAAAAACTCTGCACTTTTATCCCAGTCAAAATATCAGAAAAGTAATTAAATTAACCTTCAAATAAAAAACCGTTAGGAAAGTGTAAACATGGTAACTCTGATAGTACTTCATAGCAGTTAACACTAACACTTAGAAGTACAGCCAGCAGCCAGAGAGACAGCGTAGTTGGTTTATTTGGAAAAGCACTTGAGTAGGAGAACAAAGTCCTGTCCTCAGACCTCACACTTAAACAAACAAACAAACAAACAAACAAACAAAAGCACGTGCAGGCCTGTTCTTGCAAAGCCAGTGCTGGGCAGGCAGGACAGACTGATCCCTAGGCCAGCCTCCCCTCACTGCAAACTCTAGGCCAGTAAGACCCTGTCTCAGTCCCAAGGTCACCCTCTGGCCCACTATGCAAAGAGCAACCAGTTCTGTAGGGATGACGCTGCAGAGGGTGCTGTGGCACTGAAATCCTTGCAGTCCCCAAAGTGACAGGTTTCTTCTTCACAGACAGCTTGGTAGCTCCTGGGCAGCTTGGGGGATGGGGCCTGGTCACAGGAAGTGAAGGCAGAGTTGAGGGTTTAGGAGTTTTTGTTAGCAATCCCCAAAATCCAGGAATGGGAAAGTGGTTAAAGGTCAGGTTGACAGGAATGACTCATCTTCCCCACACAACAGTGCTCCCATGCAATGACACAAAGACTAAATTTGGAAAGCTTCCAAATGGCCAAGAAGAGGAAGAAGGTTCATGAAAAGGGAGAGCTAGGAGGCCCCGTGCTTTCCACGTGCATCACCCTGCACGTCTCTCCACCCAACCCTCTGCGAACGTCTGTGTAGCAGCCCCGCAGAACAGGGACATGCTGCCCAAGTTTAAGCAGAAGCTCCAACAAATTGACTGAGTCAAGAGCGGGGACAGGAAACCTGCACCCACAGCCATCCAGCCGAAGCACACGTGAACAGGGGACATGTCAAAGAAGCCTTTGTGCTGTTGGTGCTAAGTGGAGACTGTGAGCAGAGCAGCTGGGTCGGCTTTCCCATCTGCCTTCAGAGATACCCGTGGACAGGACTAAAGAAATTATCTGGGACTAATAAAATGATATGGGACAGGAGGGACACACAGAGGCACTTTCTAGGCACACAACTCCAAATTGCAGAAAGGAATTCACACACACACACACACACACACACACACACACTCACAGGGCTTGTTTGTTCCAAATTGCCTCTAACCAGGTGGTGGCTCAAGGCTCAGTAGCCTTGGGGTCATGGAAACCCCAGTGCACAGAGAGAGACATAGGAGGAGAAAGTAAGGACAGGTAAAGAGCAGAAGGATCAGGAACCTCGGAGACTCGGCAAATCACCTGACTAAAGGCAAGGATAACTTTGAAATAAAGGAGATGGGGTGGAATGTAGTTTCTAGGATGTTTCTCTTCTGCCTTCTCAGACCTGGGCAACTTAAAGGTTAATTTCCCAGCTTGGCTTATTGGCATCTGTGATGAGAGGCAGCAGAAGCTCTACTTGGTGGTTATACAAACCGCAAAGACAGCTGGAAAATGAGCACGTCCTAGTAATGCAGGCTGTGGTGGAGCATCAAGCTTGGGCAGTACAGAAGAGGTCAAAGGCAGTAAGGCAGGCAGAACTGAGGCAAGCTGTAGGCCTTAAGCCTGGGAGAAGAACAAAGATCACTATTCGGACAGACTCGGATGCTCTGAGTCTAAATCATTCCCTCACCACCACCTTAAACCATAGACATTTGTGGAACTGCAATTATAGATAGGAAAGCATTAGGGCATTACCCAGTACACACAGACACAAATGTAACAACCATAGATAGGGAAGCATTAGGGCATTACCCAGTACACACAGACACAAAGGTAACAACTATAGATAGGGAAGCATTAGGGCATTACCCAGTACACACAGACACAAATGTAACAAGCTTAGGTTACATTAGGTTAGGTAGTAGGTTGTAGTGACACTGTTAAAGATGGGATAGTCCGGCATCTACATGTGTGCATATGTGTGTGTGTGTGTGTGTGTGTGTGTGTATGCGTGTATGTCTGTGCGCATGCATACATCAGAATCTACCTGTCTCAGCCTCCCCAGTGTTAGGATGTACCTACCACCATATCAAGTTTCTTTTTTTAACAAGGTGTAGTGGTCTGGATAAAAATGTCCCTCATAGCACAGTCATTTGAGAACTCGGTCCCCAGATGGTGGTGATGCTTGGGGACTCATACAGCCTTGCAGAGGAAGCAGAGGTGGGCTTTGAGAATGGATACCTTCACTTCACGCCCTACTTCCAGTTTGCTCTCTCAACTTTCTGCTCCTTCTGCTGTGCCTACCACTTGCTACCATGCCTCCATGCCAGGATAGACTCTTATCCCTCTAGAACCATAAACAAAAATAAACTCTTTCTTCCACTTTGGTCATGGTGATTTGCACCAGCAACATGAAAGTAACTAATATCTCTGGGTTCTGGTGTAGGACACAGGTCTCCATGCTTGAAATGAAAGCATTTTACCAACTGAGTCATTTTCCCAGTCCCTAAAATACTCTTTTCCATGAAAAAAAAAATTCCTGGAGTGCCAACCTACAAAGCTCCTTATACCTGACGCTCTGTAGTATGACACTGTGCTGAGGGTTCACTGTGTGTCTCTGGGGAAGGCAGCAGTATGGGATCCTCTGAGATCAAAGCTCAGCTTGACTCACGGATCACCGCTTGGTATAAACTTCAAGTTTACTCCATTCACTCTGGAACAAGTTTGAAGTCAACCTCACACTAAGGCCTTCATCACCCAGCCCATCCACAGCTGTAACTTTAGCTGCCCCATGGCCCCTGGAGAACATGAACCCTCAGGTCAAACTGTCTCCTTGACGTCTGCTTCCACATCTTACATGCCCTCATTTCTGCCTAACCCTGGATGTGTTTTCCTGCCAGGTGCAACTATTCAAATCCTAGCACTCTTCAGGGTGGGGCTGGTGTCCCTTCAATCAGAACAAACTTCTACCTCAGAATTCTATATTTTCTTCCTTTCTTACTCCTTCTGTCTTCCACTGATAAGTGTAATGTCACCATCCTCATCTCCCACCCTGCCTGCTCCCATTTGCCACAGGCCACAGTCTTAAGAAAGAAGCCACCGAGCATGTATCTCAGGTGTGGACTGAACAAATGAGCATGTGGTGCCCATATATGGAGAAAAGTGTTTAAGAAACGTTAGGGTTAAAGAGTAAGGAAGTTGTTCAGGCTAAGTGCCACTAAGACCAGAACCTTCTATCCTCTTCACAGATATTGTGCCGTTAGCCTCTAGATACAAGTTACAGCAAGCATGGTGAGAAATCAGTGTGAATGTTTACTCTTACGATGGTGAGAAAGTCTTCCAACAATAAAAGCAGTAGAAATATCTGTGCAGCCTAGCAGTAACACCAAGTTTGCGTTTAGCTTACTCAAATCTAGTCTCCTAAATAAGGTAACAGTATCCTAAATCTATACGCAAATACATTTTAAATTCATCTTGTTGCTTCTTTATTTGATAAGCATTTATCAAGTAACTTCTATATACTCAAATACTGAACTAAAAACATATGTCTTTAAGCAGTTATAACTGAAAATGCAAAGAAGATAATAGGACAGTAAGGGGCCCCAAGTCTCTTCCACTAAACAAGTGCAAAATCATATTTGTATGCACACAGTTCTGCATTTCAGTCAGCAAGCAGCAGGAAGAAACATCTAAGACACTTTCAAGGTCAGATAAGCTCAAGTGGCTGAGGGGCTTGGTCATAGAGTGCTTGCCTTGTAAACATGAGGTCCTGAGTTTAATACATCAGAACCCATGAAAAAAAGACGGATAATCCTATCATGTAATCTTAGTGCTATAGAGGAGGAGAGGTGGATTCCCAGGGCTTGAAAGTCAGCTAGCCTAGCCAACTTGGGGAGTCCCAGGCCAGCAAGAGACTTAGTTTCAAAATTTTGGCAGTGCCTAAGAAATGACACCCAACATTTTCCTCTAACCTCCACACATGTACACTCACATGTATGTACATGCACACATACTAATGAAATATAACAGTTCAGACAAACATAGACACACATTGCAATATGTTATGAAAATAAAAAGGAAAATGCAACACAAATCTTCAAACACTGCCATGATTTAAGGTGCAGGAACACTGACTGTGAAGACAGGCAGACAGTAAATAGTTGTGTGGAGTACACTTCTGCTTTAACAATAGCAAAGCAAAGGCCATTCTTGTCATTTGATAGTGATGCTTTCTAATATTTTATGAAAATTATGCATATTACATATTATCTCATGTTTATGAATCCTAGCACTTACCACATATGCCCACTCTATTTATGTCTCTAAAACTATCTGAAATGTGACTGCTATATCAACAGTAAAATCAGTTAAATAAGAAATCCTATTACAACCACAGATAGACATTTTAGAAACACTATTAAAATTGAGCAATAATTATTAGCTAAAAACTTTTTATTATGATATACTTTGTAAATACATATTAAAATACTCTTACCTTAAATATGTGCCATAGATGAAGAATAATGCCATCATTAGTCCATTTAACATAAAAATTACAGCAACATAAAAGCAAGCAGGATCTCCCAATCCTTTAAAAATAAACAAAACATATGCTCTAGCCACAAATTATGTTATGAGTCTAGCAATTTACATTAAACTGTGCTTACTGTGAAATGGTTGCCAGATAAATGGTTTCCTTGGTTGCCATATGAAAACAAGACATGGATGCAGAATAGTGATGAGAAGAGTATTACAGACACGCTGCTCGGAAAGCAGGCTGTAAACCTGTTGGAACACCTTTTAAGGAGGCACAGGGACTTGGGATGGACTGCAATAGAGAAAGGCAAAAGCAACACCACTGCCTCTGGAAAGCCACATCAATAGCCACAGCAGTTCAGCTGGAAGGACACGACCTTGGGAAGAGCATAGCAATTTTGTGGCAAGCACCATGCTATAAAAAAGCTCAAAGTCCAGCCTGGCAGTGGTGGCACACGCCTTTAATCCCAGCACTCAGGAGACAGAGGTAGGCGAATCTCTGTGATTTGAGGCCAGCCTGCTCTACAAGAGCTAGTTCCATTTGAAAAAAAAAAGCTCAAAGTCTATGGAAATGTGGTATGTAACATCCGAGGTGACACCTGAACCACCCTGCTCAAGGGCCAAATGTGACTAAAGAAGCTTGGGGTCCAGTCCACTTCCTTCAGCCATGCGATTACCCTGTCACCATGGAAGCACAGCAGCCTGCCCAAATCTGTGATCTCAAGAAGCCAGGAGTGACCAGAACATGGCTGCTATTTGCAGCACTAAGATGAAAGTCTATTATGTCCCAACAGACAACAGACAGCATGACAAAGGAGCTCACCCTCGCAGCTTTCAATTGGACTGAGTCCTTCTCCTCGGGTAACTGTCCAGCATATCTTGGTTTGAATACCAATCAAATCCATTATTTTGGTATAAATCCGGTACCAGCTGGCTAAGATCACCTTTTTAAAGAAAATAAATGTCACAAGAAATAATTTTTATTACTAGAATGTGTTTTAGAATTTTCATAATTATCAAACTTTCTTTTCATGCCTCAGCTGTTTGACTCCTCTATATCTAGACAGAGGAGGCTCGACCTCTCCCACACAGATTTCACTACACAAGTCTTCAACTGGTGACGCACAGGGAAAAAAACTAAAATAAGAAATTTGCAAGATTTATATTTTTAGAAAAGTATAAAATTCTACCCAAGGAACATAAAAGACGTGTGTGTGCGTGTGTGTGTGTGTGTGTATGTGTGTCTGATTTTTCAAGATGTAAATTCACATCTCAAATTAGTTCATAAAGATGAAACAATCCTTCCAAAACTCTCAAAAGCTAAAATTGTCCTAGAAAAGTGAAAGAAAGAATAAGAGGAGCATGTCCTACTGACTCTAAAGGTCCATCATGGAAATGACTGGAATAGGTTGACCCTGGCGGAAGCACAGCCAGATGGAGCAACGTAAGAGCGGAGGCGGAGGACACCAGCTCATCTGCCTTCCAGGCAGAGGCACTCCCAGCCCCAGCAGCTGCCCAGATGGTGTGCAACTGACAGCTGTCAACTCTAAGGACTGCTCTGGGCTGAAGAAAGTAATGGACTCAAGGTCACACAAGGAAAAACTGAATCCCTTAAAAGGCTCATCAACAGAAGTGATACCTGGTCCAGGGGCCTTTGCCAATGGAAGCCTAACCATATAAAGCTATCCCCGCCCAGAGATACCAGGAGTTCACTGGAGCTTTTGATGGGACTCAATTGCAGCTCAACCCCTTTTTATATCTCCTTCTGTTCAAACCTGGCTGAGGTGGGAACCCAAGGGCACTCCCTGATACCTTGGCTGTAAGGAAATCTCCAGTTCAAAGTCCACTTTCAGGACCTTAGATAAGGCAAACTGACCATCAAATCCAGACAAAAATGACAGTGCTGTGGGACAATGGTCTTGTACCCTGTCACTTGTATTGTTGTTAATAAAATGCTGATTGGTCAGTAGCCAGGCAGGAAGTAGAGGCTTGGCAACGAGAATTATTAAGAAGAGGAAACTTTCAGTCTGCAGTCATGACCCAGATGCAAAGGACAAAAGATGTTACTGCCTCTCCAAAAAAGATACCAAGTCACATGGCTAACACAGACAAGAATTATGGACTAATATAAGTTATAAGAATTAATAAGAAGCCTGAGATACTAGGCCAATCAGTTTATAATTAATCTATACCTCTGTGTTCTTTGAGACTTAACGCCTGTGGGAACCAGGCAGGACAGAAATTCAGTCAACATGGTAGCCATCTTATATGTACACTAAGTTTGCATATAAAAAGCTACTTGAAATCAGGATGGGTCTCTCACCAGTTTTAAGTTACACAGAAGACCAGTGTGGAAACAAAAATTCTTATTCTACAGATCCATCAGTACAAATTACAAATAAGTTAAAATATAAAAATAACTACAAAGAATAAATATTTTACATGCATGTTTAAAATTCGTAAGTTAAAAGATTCATGGGCATAAAATGCGGCATAAAAAAGTATCTATAGCTAAAAAGAAAATATTTATTAGTCTGTCATAATAACATCTTATACATAAAAAAATGGGTCTTTAAGAAACCCAATAGAAACAGAGACAAAGAGGCATGAATAGGAATTCTTTTGTAAAATAACGATAAGTAGCTATATAGCACTCAAATGTATACATATGCATGAACGGATAAAATACATCAAGGAGTTATAATTTCCTTGTCTATCAAAATCAGCAAGGATGCAAATCAACAATTCCAAAACTGCTGTTGGCAGGAATTCAATCTGTTTAGCCTATGTGGAAGGCCTTTGGGCGATATGTCCCCCAAATCATTACAATACATATTCTGCTGAACTGAAGAGCTAGCCACAAATTTAGTTTTAAAAAATATAAATAAATGTTTTGCTGGTGGTTTCTGGCAATTTGACACGAACCTAGACATATTTTGAAAAAAAGATTCCTAGTTGAGAAAATACCTCCAAAAGACTGGCCTGTCAGCAAGTCTATGGGGCATTTTCCTGATTTAAGGACTGATATGGGAGGGCCCAGCCGTGTGGGTGGTGCCACACCTGAGCAGGTCATGGGAGCAAGCCAGTAAGCAGCATTCTTCCATGGTCTCCTCTTCAGTTCTTGCCTTGAATTCCTACTTTGGCTTTCTCAATGGACTGTGACCATTAGATAAACCACATAAACCCTTTCCTCCCCAAGTTCATTTATCACAGCAGTAGAACCTAACAAAGGAAGATGTGTATAACTAAGATTTAGATTCATGGACATTCGCTGCAGTTTTGCTTAGAATATTCAAAAGTTTGAAAAGTTAAAATATCTGTTAAAAACTGGGCTAAAGGAGACAATAGTAGATCATGTATATAGTCACTAAAACTGACGCAATGGAAGGGACGTGGTAGAGAGGCTGGCTTTGAATATCCCCAAAACACAAAAGGAACACTTAAAAAATTGCCCACACCCTGCAATCCCATTTTTGTAAAGTCTACCTGCATACAGCCACAGAAAATACTCAAGAGCAGTACTTTGTGGGAAAACACTGAACTCTGGAGGGCACAGTTACTGATTACTCAAAAATCAATCAAGTCACTGACCCAGAAGTGACAGATATTCTCTCAGTAGGAAAAAAAAAGGGGGGGGGTCTGCAGACCCACTTAGGACAGCTGCTGAGCAGAGAGCTAGACAGACACAGCCCAGCCATCGGGTGCCCTTCTGGGACCACAGGGTAAGAAGGTAAAAGGAAGATGTGGGCTTCACAAGACATCTTGATTTCAAGTCACAAACGAAGTTGTTTCTTAGCCCAGGGTCCAGAAAAAGCTTAAGAAATGAGTCAAATGAAAGCAGAGGGAAGGGATGTTATCTGGCAAGTGACAGAACAAACACTCACCAAACACAATCACTATCATAGCTCCCAAAACCCAAAACTCCCCCAATAAACTCCTTCCCCATGGTGCATATTTTCTACTAAAAAGTGAAGTAAAACTTAGTATGGTGAGTCAGAACTGAAGAGTTAGAAGCATATTCAATTTCTAAGAAGCAATTTAGTAAATGAAAAATCACAACTGAGAAAAGAAACAACTTACCTCAGGATAAAGATTGAACCTTTTTAACGTATTAATAACAAGGGGGTATTCAGTAAGCTTGTCGTTCATAATCATCCACACTCCACTGAAAAATGAGGGTGCTTCCACTATAGTCTTGAAATAAGAATAATACAGCCCCTGAAAGAAGGATGTGCTCCAGTTACAGTCAAAGGTACAGTTATTCATCTTCTTAGATTACAAATATTCAAAATACACTGGTTTTGAAAAACTGAGCACTCAAGCAGGTAATAGCTATAATAATTTCACAGGCTTCTGATTACTTATAAATTCTTAGGTTACAAAAAAAGTGTATTTTAGAAGAATTTCATCTTAATTGAAATAATTATGTGGAAAATTGCTTCAAAAATAGCTTCAGAATTTAAATATGTATACATGTAATTTAGCATATGCCACATATGAAAAGTCTATTGAATACATAAAACGGCACCAATCTTACTTCCTCCAGATTTACATTCAAAATCCATGTGTTCTCTAAAAAGACTGCACATTCTGCACATTCCTATTAAACAATAACTTTACAAACCATGTCCCCCACAGCAACTCAACAGATGAGCGGACCCTGGGGACAGCGTGGGGTGGGGTGTATATTGAGGGTAATAGGGACATTTTGTCGGGCATGCTACTTTGAAAAGGGCTGCTACAAGGATGAAATAACACATGAGACAAAAAATAAGAGGCAGAGCTGAATATACAGCTCACCGGCTGGGCGCCTGCCCAGCATCCAGGAGGCTCTGCGCTCAATGCCTACCACTCCGGATATAGGCACCGCTGGGAGGCCAGCGCTTGAGAAGTGAAGGTGGCGGGAGGAACATCCTCAGCTACAAAGTAAGTATGAGGCAGCCAAGAATACAGGAATTGAGACGCCCCCTCGATATAAACAAATAAAATTAGAATAAAAACCCCCATAACAGTCAATGAAGTTTAAGCAAGAGTCTGAGAGGCAAGCGCAGGGGACACAGACAGGCAGAGTGCAAATGCCCCCCTTCTCTGCAGCTTGACCAGAGCAGGAAGGTGATTCCCCCACTACCCACAGCGCCTGCATTAGTTCACACATATTTCTTCCTTCCATTTCCTACTGTATTATGTTAACAAGGTCCCCTGTGGAGACCCAAACCGGGGACTATGATCTCCTCTGAAAATAGGATCTACAATGACATAATCTAGTTGAAGCAAAGACAAAGCAGACCAAAGTGAGTCAAACTGAACTCAGCCTTAAGGCACAGAAGACAGACAAGGATGAAAGAGGCTGAAGAGGGATGCCACAACAAGCCAAGCAACCCCAGGCAGCTGAGGGAGAAGTCTGCCTTGTGCAGCTCCTTCCTCATGCGGAAACCTCAGAAAACGGATGCCTGCTGTTCTCATCCACTCTGGATGGACACTGTTGCAGCAGTGCTGGAACCACTGCATCTACCCTGGCCTGGGAGCTTCACTTTAGAAACATATAACATTTCATATAATTACAAACATACAACTTTCAATATTTAAGGAACAAAAATAAAGAAAAGGTATTATTTAACAAATTGAAAGAGAATACCAAGTAATTCTTCTGGTCATTCTGTCTGCTAGAAAACGCTATGTTTCTGTTAATAATTGTATTTCTAGTAATGAGTTTGACATTTTATCCTATTAAATAAGTAATTTAAAATTAACATTCTCATAGTAAAACAAATTTAATATCAAGTAAAACAGATCAAATCCTAAACTTTAATTTGAAAATCTTAATATAAACTCATGACTCACTGTTTGTAAATAAACAAACAAATAAATAAATGATGTTTGCTAATTCTGCTCACCAAAAAGGCCCAGCAGTGGCCCAGGGAGTAGGAATAAGTACTGGCAGCACAGGGGTCCTGGTGTCTACACACTGTCTGAATTCTACCCGGAAAACTGGTGTTACCAGGCCTGCGTAGGAACTTTATCGTACAGCACCCCAAAATAAGGAATCCCTGGACACCAAGGAAACACCACTGAGGTCACTGAGGGCCAGCACCGCCAACTGCAAGAGAATGGCCAGTCCAACACCAAAGGTTACGAAATACGTTCTGATCAGTTTACTGATTCTAACTCGAAGATGTAACAATCAAATTATTTTTATATAAAAAAACATGATAAATAAAAGAATTGATCATTTTCCTATCTTTCCACTATGAAGTAAACCTCACTAAGAAACTAAAGCCACATTGTAGGAAAATTCTTTACAGAGTTACAAGTCAACTGTGCAAGAAAATAATGAGTTTGTCTATTCTAATGAGATGAGCGAACTAAGGAGATGGCTGGGCACCACCTGGATGTGTTCCTCACAGAAAGGGACCCACGTCTTCCGTTAGTCTTCAGAAAACACAGGAGACAGGAACACGGTAAGAACATGAGTCACAGTGGGCAATTCTACTGAACATATACATGTTTACTATGTGTGTGTGAGTGTATGTCTGTGTATGTGTGAGTGTGTGTGTGTGTGTGTGTGTGTGTGTGTGCATGGCTCTGTATGTGTATTTGTGTGTCTGTGTATGTGTGAGTGTGTGTGTGTGTGCGTGGCTGTGTGCATTCTGGTTCTTCAATAGATAAATGGCAGAAAACAAAACAGAAAGGGATTTATAGATTCTCAGACTCAGCAATACAGCAGGTAAACCAAGTGCAGACAGTAAGGCCCTCAGCTGCTAGGTGCCAATCAGCTCACTCACACACCAGTTTACATTTGATGGTGCTAAGAAACCGTTAACAGCGAAGAGTCCTTTGAGGAACCTGAATGTACTCGCACAAGAGCAATGTGTAGCTTCCTTCATACAGAGATGGGTAAGGAGGGATGAACGACTGTATGTGATCTGTCATTGATGCTACATGATGAGTAAGGAGAACCATCTACTTCTTTTACTTGGGCATGACTTTCTGAAACTTTTCACGCTAAAAAGTTTGAAAATATTTAGAGTTCCAAAATATTACAATGAAATATTATACATACAAAATATTACAATGAAATATTATACATACAAAATATTACAATGAAATATTATACATACAAAAAACTAACCATTTCCGTGCGGAAAGCCATCTCCCGTTCCAGTGTTGAGAGGTGAGAAAAATGGCGATCATTTTCAAAGAGGTGCGTTATGTGGCTCCTGAAAACATTAGAACAACAAAGCCAACAGTGTGAAGCTGTGAGATTACTACAAAGCAAAGAGGGAAGTCCTACAGATTGTAGACAGTTTGCAATAAAACTTAAAAACGATTGTATTTGTATTTGTCTTCTACCAGGTTTTAACAAGTCTACTAAATTTTCTCTCCATAAGAAAACACATTCCAATTAGATTTTAACATTAAAATAAACCATAACAATATTTTAAGTGATATACTATAAAAATATAGATCACACTGAATGTGCCATCGGGTACCATTCAGAAACTGCCTAGATCACAAAATTCATACATCGTTCCATTCAGAAGATTAAAAACATCAATCTAACACTCAACGTATACCCAATATTAATGCTAAGCAAACTGGAGTATCAAATATAGCCTCTTTAATAATGGATATTTTTATTAAAAAAGTTTATTATTCTGATCCTGATTTATCAATTAAACTAGTCTTTCTGAGTACTGTGGTATATAAGATACATTCATCCTTATGATACAGAAATTATTCTTTTAAATACATGGGATGTAGCTTTGGTAAGTTATAAACATCTACGTAATACACATCATAAAGAAAAAATGATCTTACCAGTGCAACAGGGCTGCAAAGGAAGCTGAAAGAAGAAAGAAAGGTACATTAATTACTATTTTAGCACAAATACCTCCTCCTTACAGATCAGCACTTCAAATCAGATCCAGCACAATCAAGGCGGGATGGCTGAGAGGAGCGAATACTGAGCTTCACAAGAAGCTCTGCAGCTAAGCCTACACAACACCACTGGAGCGGCTGAGGCTGTGGCACTCACTCTCTCAACAAGATACGTGAGGCCCTATTATTGCCAGACACTGTACGGGACCAAAACCAAAAGATGGAACCCACTACCAAAAGACCCCAGGGGAACAGAATCAGTAGGTAAGGGTGCCTTAGAACAAAGAACCACATGACTGGTCAGGGTTACAAGGGAAATAAATACACAAAGTATCACCACCTTTTAACTCCCCTAGTGCCTGAATTTTCACAGGAAGGCTCACTCTGGTTTGTGTGTGTGTGTCTGCATGTGTGTGTGTCTGTGTGTGTATGTGTGTGTGTGTGTGTATTGGGGGATATCTATTAGATAATTTATTTCTTTCCACTTAAATAAGTAGACCCTTTTTGTGTTCTCTTAGTAACTGAATTTTTCTTTAAAAGAAAAAAATCTGCAAATAAAAAAGAAATTCAAAGAAGGTCAAGGAAAGGCGATTATGGAGGACCCCACTGCCTACCATGCTGGTTTAGAAAGCCCTCCCAGTTTGGCGGGAAGTGTCCACACTGCCCACACCAAAGCTCAATCAGACACTGGGATATTACACTAACTCCTGATTCCCCAGATTCTATGCTACACTGTATCTTCAGTCTCAGGGACTGGAGGTGAAACATTACAAAGCCAAGTCTCTCCTTGCTGCTAGACTCCAGCTAATCAAGACAGAGCCCAACTCCTCTGCAGACGGGAGTTAGAACAAAGTTCCTGAATTTACTCCAGTACTTGTTAGCACCAGTACAGCTGGGGCTCAACTGAGTTCGAAATGACCGTGTAGAACTAAGTGTTGACAGGAGGGTATGAACTAAACCCAAATCCTGTCCGTGTGGCACAGAAGCTGAATTGAGCCTTTTGTTAGACACACGCCCACACGCAATCTTTTCTCCATTTACTCCCTGGAAGTTAGACAGTTCAGTGGGGGCCGCTAAGGGCCAAGCTTCAGGATTTTCTGCCACATCAGTGAGCAAGGCACCCAGGATCCTCCTGCCCTGAGTTTGCCAGTTTGCTGGGCCAGCCTCTGTATGGGAAGCAAGCAACAGGACACTGTATCCTACTGGAGCTCTGGCAACCACGTGTCTCCTGCCCAAGCAACTTGCAGGATGATGAATCCATTCCAACCACAGCTCAAGAGTCCAAGGACTGATGGACGGAGTTCGGGCAGCACGTGCTAGGTATGAGCGACCTCTTTCCAAGCTGGTGCACAGTGCTGGCCCACAGATCCTCCCTCAAACACTACAGGTTATTGCACTGCTCTCGGGTATACTGCTGATGGAAAGACCCATGCACTAAAGACATCCTGAGTCATACACAGGGCATGGATAGACCAAGCTGGTACTGCCCTGGAAGCTTCCTCCTACTGGCAACTTCTATGGTGCTGGAAGGTGCTATGCATACTACATACTCAGCAGTCTGACCCAGCTGTGACCCCTGCAAGCAAGCTACAATCATCACTGCCCTGGCTAGACACTAATGAAAGAGTGGCACAAATGTTAGGGGAGTAATCAATCACTTTCTGATTGGATTTAAAGTCTGATCCACAAGACAAACAACTGGGCCAACAACCGGTGGTTAGCCAGGCCATAGGCCCTAGGGGAAAACATATTACTATTATTCTGCTAACCGAACAGAGTAATAAAATGCCTCTTAAATTATCTCTATACCCATAGATTATACGTCTCCCAACCCTCATCAAGGAAGCTCCATTTTATAGCAGAAAATGATTAATGCCTATACCCACAATGGTCAACATGCAGAGAATAAAAGACTAGGTTTGGGACAGTCAGCTCTAAATAGGGTGTCTCTAATACATCCCCTTCCTCCAAGTCTTAGGAATCATTGCCAAAGAGATGTTGGACAGCCAGAGGCAGCAGATGTCTGCAGCAATGCAGTATTTCCAGGCATGCCAAGGCTGCTGCCCACAGGATTCAGAGGCTATAACTGCACACACAAGATAGTAACAAGATCCACCCAGCCAAAATTCCAGTATGGCTGGGGGAGGAGTTCATGAAGTCCCATTCCTAACTGTGGAGCTACTAGCAAATGTCACCTGCTGTGGGAGAGAGACTATCTTCTTCAGGGCTATGGGCCCTGGAATGCTGCCCATACTCCATGGACTATCCTGCACTAATACACACCCACACAGGCAGTGCAAAATGGAGAAAGCAGGTTTTAAACAAAGCACATGAAGATGACAGGAAAAGTTGGATGGGAGGGGAGAAAGAGAAGAATGGAAAGAGGGAGAATGGGAGGTGGATTTGATCAAAACATAGTATATGCATGTATGAAATTTTCAAACAAGAAAAAGTCAAAAAACTGTGTATCATCAATAGTGAATTACCTAAATCAAAAATATGTAAGAAATAAAGGGCATATAATTAAAAAAAAAGAGTCTAGGGAGGGCTGTTCCTTTAGGTCCTAATGGTCCCCCAGAGACGAGGAAGGTGTCAAGGCAGTTAGGGAAGGGAATCAACTGGCCCTGCCCAGGTCAGGTCCAGTGCTCAGGAGGATAAAGGAAGCAGTCAAGTATTCCTTCTTAAATGTTCAGCCTCGGCGGAGCTCCTATATTCCAGGCTACATAAGGACTGCCTGTTTCAAAAGCCAAGAGCAAAAGTTACTGGTCTCCTCTCCATACTTTTGATCTCCACAACAACCCTGCATTTATCCTCACTCCACAGATTAAAAGCTGGGCCCTGAAGGTCCTTCCCCAGAGGCACCTGGATCTCCTTTCACACAGAAGAGTTCCTTCCTTCCCATTTGTGAGCATTTGGTGAGCGTATCTTGCAACAATATACACATGAAGAAATGTATCCTAAATCCAAACTTCAACACAGCCTATAGTCCAGTTTTATGAAAACATGCTTGCACATTCTGGTCTCATTAATCCTCAAATGGCAAGCTGGCATTACAAGGTTAAAGGTGCTTCCTATATCCATCTAGACAAGGTTTCTGAGTCAACCTTGACAAGTTACTTATTCACCATTTCTAATACCAGCTACTTCTTACTGTTTAAGAGTCCACTCCCAAGCCTTCGCTTCTCTAGAGGCTGAAGTCGTTTGTAAAGAGCCTCTGTATGCTACACCATCAAGCATCCTGGGTAATGAAGCCAGTTTCTGAATGAGCAGATCTAAGTACCTCTCCTGCTCCTTCAAAATCCATGACCTCCATACATGGCTCCCAGGATGGGCCCATACTTGTAGCAGGCTTTCTTTTGGGCCACCAACAACTCCCAAATCATGACACGGAGACTTGTTATTTGTTACGAATGCTCAGCCTTATCTTAGGTTCTTTTCTTGCTAGCTGTTGTAACTTATCCTAACCTGTTTCTCATCATCTATATTTTGCCTGGGGGCTTTTCACTGTTCTTTCATTCTGTATGCCATACTCCATGTCTGCCTGGCTGGTGGCTGCCTGACTGGCTGGCCCCAGGCATCTTCCTCTCATTCTTCCTCGTTCTCTCCTCTTCTCTCCCATCCCTCTCCTTCTCTTCTCCTCCTATTTCTTCTCTTTGCCTGCCAGCCCTACCTATCCCTCTACTGCCTAGCTATTGCCATTCAGCTTTTTATTAGACCAACCAGGTGCCTTAGGCAGGCAAGGTGAAGCAGCAACACATCTTTGCATAATTAAACAAACTGCATAATTAAACAAACGCAGCATAAACAAATGTACTGCATCTTTACATGGTTAAACAAATATAGCATAAACAAATTAATACATCTTGGCCTAGTTATATTCCACAACATAAACAAATGTAACACATCTTTATATAGTTAAAGTAATATTCTATTAACACATACTCTTGACCATTCCCAGTCAACTGCCACCACACCCTTCACTTTGATTGTACCAAGCAAACACCTAAAATACCAAGATCTATCCTTCAAAGTCAAACCTCTCCCTCTTCCTCTTTGTGTATGTATGAGTGTGTGTGTGTGTGTGTGTGTGTGTGTGTGAGAGAGAGAGAGAGAGAGAGAGAGAGAGAGAGAGAGAGAGAGATTGTGTCTAGAGTACCTCAAAAACAAAACCCAGAGAGAGAGAGAGAGATTGTGTCTAGAGTACCTCAAAAACAAAACCCAGTTTCTGGGCCCTAAGCTAACAAAAACATTTCTACTCCTTAGGACCCAATTGAAGGAAAGCAGGACTTTCAGGCTATGAATGCTTCAGAGCCAACGGCTGTCTTTTGCCCTGGAGATTGGCAAAGCACATCCAAGAAACCAAGCGCAGCACTCCAGAAACAATCAGCAAGTAGTTGGTCTTCTGGGGAAAATTTCCAAGGGCTAAGATTTAAGTCTCCAGATCAGGTGAACCAAGCACTCAAGCAGACCTAATGAAGACTACGAATGATAGAAATCTAAGAAGGTGTATCAGTGACCTTCTTAAAACATAGCTTATGAAAGGAGGACCCTAGAAAGCGGGGTCAAGGCATGCACATAGCTTGCTGCATGAATGAGAAATGAGGACATGTGTGCTCCAAGGTACTGCTGAGGAAGAAGCTTTGTTGTAGACATGAGAAAACAGCCAGGCATCCAGAAGAATCCACACTGAACCAGGCCAATAGAAAAGGCTGGCGGAGGAGGAAGAGGATAAGAACCAAGAGACCAAGCGAGGAACCAGGCACCAAGAGGACGAGTAGCCAAAATGGCCTAGGTTAGATAGGAATCAAAGAAACTGGGTGACACTCAAGGGCTGGAGAGGTTTGGGGTGGGAGACAGGGAATGCTAGCCAAGATGACTCTGTAACAGGAACCTGTGATGCGGAGGGCTGAGGGCCAGCATTGACTTGATGTGTCAACAGGCACCTCAGTCCTGGGTTAGCCATTTGTCCTGGGTTTGAGACCTAACAGTGTGGACTTGACAGCAGCCAGCCAGAACACAGATACAATGAAGGCAGATGTGACTTGGATCCAACAGGACAAAAGAATTCTCATCCCAGTGCTGAGAGCATGGAGCAAACAATGGCAATCCACTGACACTCTCTGAGGACTCACTCAGACCTATGCAGTGGTCACACGCCCTGTGCCCCACAACATCAGGAGTGTTGAACAACCAGAGCTTCCCAACCAGTGGGCCAAAGGTAGAAGAGCTGCAGGCGTTCAGGACAGCCACCTTCTGATGAGCATCTTGGCTTTAAAGGAGCTGTACATTCACCCACTGCACAGTGTGGTCCTCTGGATGCATCATGGTGTAAGAGGGGTGGGAAGGGCTGAGCTAGTTAACATAGAAAACAAGCAACTGTCTGAGAAAAGCAGTCTATACAGCAGCATAGACTCACAGTGGTCCAAATCCTCGTATTGCATTTGAATCTGCAGGAGAACTAGATAAAACTAGACATTTTTATTAAAATAAGATAACTAAATAAACTAAATAATAAATAAATAAATAAGCTAAGGAGCTAAATAAAACTGGTTAGTTTTATTAACTAGTCATATTTACATTATTAGTCCAAGAGTCATACGTCTGAAATTCTAGGAGTTTCTAATTTATACATATTTAAGTCCTTTTCTTATCACTGTGATTAAATGAATCGAGAAGCAACCTGAGGAAGGAAGCATTTATGTTTCTTCATGGTCTGGAGTGATACCCTTCACAGTGGGAAGGTGTGACAGTGACAGTGAGCTCCTCAAGCAGCTAATTATAAGACCCTCTCTATCTAGAAGTAGAAACAGCCCACTGGAACCCGGCTGCTGCTGGGGCTATGACCGCAAGGCCCATCCCTCAATGACCCATTTTCCTCTAGCTAGACCCACCTCCTGAGAGAAACGCAATCTCCTCAGCACCACTGATAGGGGAGGAAGTATTTCAACAATAAGTTAATGGAAGACAGTTCACATTCAAACAGTAACACGTGACTGTGACAGGCTGGTCAAGGCTGACTGTCACAGAATGGCAGGTTTACGGTGAGTGCTCCGGGTCCCTTATGTCCACATGTCTTGGAGGACAGCAGTGATTTACTACCTGGCAGCTAGGTGGATCAGTCTCACGCCAAAACCACACCTCCCAGCCAACAATCAACATTTCATGAAGTCAGAGGAAGACACAGACAGCTCGCTGACTCCCTGGCAGCCTTCCACATTACGAGCGGCCTTGGAGCACAGCCATGCACTGGAGGAGCACAGCCATGCACTGGAGGAGCACACCACCAGATCACAGCAATCTTGGGCCCAACTCTTAAAAGCTCTTGATTCAACAGGTACAGGACTCAAAGCTGTACATTACTAACAAACCCTCAGGTGACTCACACAGTCCACACTTTGAGAAGTGGGACAGCTACGATACAAACCCAGTGACAAGAACAAAGTGAAAATTCATTCAGGTAAGATGCGGAGGCCTGGGGGGTGGTGACACAGAGGGATTGGGAACATGAAAATACAAATTCAAAAGGTAACTCTGAGTATAACTGATAAAACTTGGTGGCCACACATAAGAATTAAGAAAGGAAAAGAGTTAAAAGTGCTCCCTTCTTCCTTCCCTAAGAAGAAACACTCTGAGTTTCCTAAGACATCACTGATCTAGCCTTGAGTCCCATTTGCAGAAAGTCTAGAATGGGGGATGGTGTTTGGATAGCTCAGCGCCCAGCGCTTACTGCATGACCCAGAGCTGTTACCACTAGCACGGGACTCCACACTCTCTGAAGGGACTGCAACCGTGATTTTCTGCCTATTTTCTATTTTCATTTTTATCTTCCTGTTCCACAACTTCAAAGCCTTAATAGGTTGAATTCATTTTATTTGTTCCCTCTTTGGGACTGAGGGGAATGTTCTACTCTTAATAGGAAAAGACGGCACAAGCTCAATTTACTAATAGAGACATTAAGTCTCAAAATGAGAAGCAAAACTGCTTTTGAAACTCACAGTCCAATGTAAAGAAACCCCACCTCGTAAGATCTAGAGCTCACGGGGTTACAGGCTGATGATCAACTTTGGTTAATTCTAGTCTTCTAATACATTTAGCATTGAGAAAAAAAAATCGACCAAATCCAGGTAAAAACATAGAAACTCTTAATTATATTGATAGGATCTAACGTCTGCTCATTAGGATTAAGCAGAAATGATCCAGGAGTCAATCTAAAGAACCAGTGGCTTTTATTTCCCCAGGAGACCCAACGTCTCATGTAGCAAAGGGGCATACAGCAAACCCTGCAAGAGAGTTGAGGCTTCCCTGACTCCAAGTTCAGCCATGAAAACATTGAACACACACAAAATGCCTTAGAAATCTCAAAGGTATAAAAGACAAAATGATGTGTTCTAAAGTGAATATTTGGAAACAACAGAATTCAGAAAGTATACACTGCCACCCCACAGACAACATGACTGGGATTCTAAGCAGAAAAATGCACAAAGTCAGATTGCATATATTTTAAATATGAATTTATGTACAAATACTAGAGTAAGCAATGCATGATTACACAAGACATGTTTTGAAAGTAATGAATTCTATCTTCTTTTAAAAGTCTTAGCCTTACACAATGTGAACACAAATACTTCTAAATCAAACAGTATCGGCATTGATAATTTCCATAAAGTAACTTCCTTTTCACTGGCAAAACACAGTGCATCTTACTGTTTTAAAAACAAATAAATATATAACCAAATAATGTGCTCCTGAGCATACAGAGGGCAATTATGAAATCTGGAAAATGCAGTAAGGAAAGTGCAGAACACAGGTCTCTTCAGCACAGGAAGAGATACAAAGACAAGCAAGGGCATGAATGTGCACAATCAAACGCACACACAAACACCCCTAAATAAATAAATGCAATCTCCTTGGTCCACATAAAGCTACTGTATGTATATGACATTAGGGACTGGCAGACCTGAAGGATTGGAGATGCCTCCCCTCTGAGAACTAGTTTTCATGATATCAAAGGTACCGTGCAAGCTTCCAAGAGAGGAAAGCGACCAATAGTCTGATTCAGCTATGATGCTCTGAACTAAACAATTACATGTGTGGCACAATATTGAAGCCATAAATGCAATAGTGGTAGAGATGTCTTGGTGGCAAACAAGAAATAATTAGACTTAAGCCCCATGCAACAAGAGGAGTCATCTAGTACTAGAAACCTAGCCGACTTCCCAGGACTAGCAAAGTCATGGATCCTGAAGGAGAACCTACAACCATCATTTACCATATCAACATAATCCCTAACTATATTCTAAATAGTCATTCCTACACCCAGAGGTAAATGCGGTCCTCACCCCTCATCAAAAAAATGCTTCCTTGCAACAGATGAAAACCACCACAGAAAGTCACAGCTCATCAAATGCAGATACCAAGTGACCACGTGGCTGGGGCCCAGTGCCAACTAACACATACATCTACAGCACAGTTCCCTCATGGAAGAATCGGGGCTCACAGGGAGGAGGGGGCAGAAAGATTATAAATCTTTAGTAATTTTCAACAAGCTTGTTTCCTGATAAACCATTCTAATGTTAAGATAAAGAAACACCTTCCAATTGCAAACTTATTAACTATCTTACTGCCAAACAACCAAGAATCATTTTTAAATTAAGAATTTATTCAGTTTTCAAAAACTATGAAGTCAAAATGAAGATGGAGGACACATGCATAGACCTGAGGATATAGAACCATAATGATTATCAGAATGAGCAGAAACAGAAACGTCTGTCCTCTCTAGAGAATTAACAGACTGAGGACAGACGTCCTCTTCCCACTGATGTGCCTCTGACTGCTGTCTAAGCCTTCAGATTTGAACCCTACAATTGACCAACATGACTGACAAGTAATTAGCTTCAAGTTCAAACCTCATTCACGGAACTCAAGAATGTTGTCCCCATAGTTAAAATTCTCAACAATAACATTTAAGTTCTACATACTCAGGACATTTCCGCAGGCATCAAAGATAGGTGAGGAATAGCCAAGGTCTTCTAAAAACAGCATTTAACTAGTAAATCAGCAGAAGCATGAGGACGGCTGGGTAGGCATCCTAACAAAGCCGAGCCATGATACATTTCAAAAGTAAAAGTGAAAAACATATCTGAATTTTGATACTGCAGTAACAGTTGTAAGGAAGAAGCATTTCCTCAGGAGTGAATTTATAAGGGTCATCACCACAAATCTTTCTCTCCCAGCAGAGCTTCCCCGTGAATACCGGGTCCTAACACATAATACCATAGGCAGTGCAGTCAAGCTTCTTCCAGCTGATGGGAGCAGCGATGAGGGCATAAATACTCTCTATGAGAAGCACCAGACCGACTGTCCTGAGTCATAAGGAAATGACAAAGCTACTAAGAAAAGGGAGCAACTCCACACAGAAGAGGTTGTAACTGAGGAGGTCCTTCAAATTGGCCTGTGTGCCTAAAGGAAAATACAAACTCTCCCAATACTAATGTCCTTGGCCACTTATCTTCTTTCCTCTATTAAATATTCTTTGAACACCAGCCTTAAAGCCAGTCTACGCACAGGGCACACACTCTTGTACATCAGCTTTATCATTACTGTCCTTAAATAAATACTCCTGCACATAATGGGGGGAAAAAAGAGCCATGACTACTATGTGGGGTGAGATTGAGGGTGGGACAGCAACATAATTAGGCAGATTCGAATTATTATAAAATCCTGGCTGGTATAGCCTACCTCCTACCATGAACTCTCCAGCCCAGAGACCAGGCTGCACTTCCTCCAGTTGCTCTCTCTTACATAACCCAGACATTTTGTTATGAACCCCTATTTTATCTACCTTTTGGCCTCTTGCCTTCTTGGCCACTGTTCCTGGTTCCTTCCTCCCTCCCTTTCTCCTCCTCCTCCTCCTATTCCTGCTCCTCCTCCTCCTTCTTCTTCCTCTCTCTCTCTCTCTCTCTCTCTCTCTCTCTCTCTCTCTCTCTCTCCCTCTCTCTCCCTCTCCCTCTCTCCCCCCTCCCTCCCTCTCTGTCTCCATCTTCTCACAGGCCCAGGCAGTATGGCTAAGACAGTCGTGTCCACTCTGAACTCTCCCAGATGTCTCTGCCTCTGTCTCTGCCTGTATTCCCCCTTATAACTACAACAAAAACGTCAACCCCTTAGAAACAGTCATGGCCTCCTTTTATTTCTTCCTCATTCAATCATGATAATGTCAAGAAAATAAAAAAGTATATTTAAAGCATGACCCACAGCTGTTGTAGACTGATGCATTTTAAAATACACTCTTATTAAACAACTCTTGATTGGATTATTAAAAAAATCACCCACAGAGGAATGACCTCTTCATGGGATTAAAGGTGTGGATCTAGAAATGGATGGAACTCTTACCAGTTTTGATTACTAGTAAGCGATGGAATGGAAGACTGAAGAAAACTAACAAATTCATTCCTAGAAATATCCTAATGATAAATTATAGCTATTGACAAAAGATGAGATACCAGCATAAATTTGAAGCAAGTATGTAAATAATAAGCTTTGCAGTCTACGAAATACAAATGTCATTAATTAAACTTACAAGAGACATTAATAAACCTTTACACTCACCAAGAGATACTAATATAATCTATCAGGATAAGGCTTTAAGTGACCAGACTTTTTAGCAAGAACTAAGTGTGTGTGTGTGTGTAATTAGAATTTCATCTACTTTTAGTATAAATGTCCTACTATTGGCAAAAAAAATCACATATAAAGAACAGAGCTTTATAAACTTACAAAAACTGAACTAAGTTGACTGTATGCAGTTTCGGTGCTCACGAGCGCTTTATTCTTGGAAACTTTCCTATTTAGAGCACCTTTTTAATAAGAAAGCATATTTAGGTGATTATAAATATTCTTAAGGATCAACCAGAAGTCTATTTTAGAAAGGAGGAAAAAATGGTTTCAAACCCCCAAACTTGCATCTTTTTCTCTGGCTCTGATGGGATTCCGATAATTAACAGAGCATTCCCTTATAGCTGCTTGCTCGGCTGAGCCCAGGCTCTTGCCTGAGATCAGTCAGCACAAGAGGAGCTTCACACTTCAGCGTCTCTCCCGTCGCCACCCACGAACCTGCTTGCTTTCCATCCTTCACTCTGGTATCCATATAAGATCCCTTTCTCCTTACTACTGAAGAAAGAAACAAAGAAGCAGCCCGTGCTAAACACAGACCCTTGAGGCTCTCAGAATCGATGAAAGGCCACACGTGTACTCTTGCTACATGCTCACTAAAAGAAACATTACGTAGCAATTAAGAACATGAACTCAGAAGTGAGAGACTTGGGTTCAAATCCTGACCTTAAGAATTCCTGGGGTGACAAGGCCTAAGTTTAGTTAACTAAGCACCTGTGCCTCAGATCCCACGTCTAGGGTGTCTCAGTCAGGCCTAAGTCACTGTTAAATCAGTTGACCTGCAGCACGGGCCCAGAGCCAGGCAGGGACAGCCCCTCGGCGCCAGGGTAAGACACTACCTGTGGAGTGTGAAGTCACTTACCCTGATGCTGAACACTTACTGTTTTCTCTTCTACTCACTTTTCTTCTGTCCTGCAGCCAGCCTAACATTTCATACTGGGTATCCCACACACAGCTCACAGGAGCGTGTCCAGACACAACCCTCGTCTCCATCAAGTCTTGTGGGCCCTGGAAGGGTCCCACTTCGGGGATCGAGTCCCTTTGATTTTCCAAGCACAGATTTCTCAGAATTAAAATGTAAACATGCCCATCTTGCTCAACACTCCTCAGGGGCTTCCGACGGCAACAGGAATAAACTCACTCCCATTCCAGATCTGGTCCACAGGCACCGCTCCTCCATTATAGGGTAAGTGAGACCTGCTCCTTCCTTCCCACGTGCCCCTGGCTGCATCAAGAAGCCATCCCTCTCATCTTCCACAGGGCTCACCCAGGCTCAGCTCACACAGGCTCGGCTCACCCAGCCTCGGCTCACCCAGCCTCGGCCCACCCAGTCTCGGCTCACCCAGCCTCGGCTCACACAGGCTTAGTTCTCAGGCAGACGCCACCGCTTCTCTGTCCTCTGGCTAAAGTCAACTACAAGGCCCCTTCCCAAAGTCTGTCTTGGCTTAGTATTACTAAGGAGGACATTCCCTGGCTTTGAGATTTCCTTTGTTCATTTTGCTTCATTTGTCCCCACACAGAAGGCCTTTCCTTTCCTCCAGGGCACTTACTACAAACTCTAACTAGTCACTTATTCTTCTTACGTCCATAATGCAAATTCCACAGGGGCTGGCAGAACAGGTTTCCTGTTCGTCTTTTTCCCAGGATGCACCTGGCACAATAGGCATTCCAATTGGAGTTCTATTCCAATTTGAACCAGACTTACTACTTTACATGTATTATCTTGATGCGGGAGAATTGTCTGTATTCTGTCAATCATATTTTAATAAAACGCTGATTGGCCAGGCAGGCAGTATAGGTGGGAAAACCAGACAGGAAGTAGAGGTGATGCAATGAGAACAGGAGAATTCTGGGAAGCAAGGAGGTTCCTCTGTCATTCCTGTCCAGACCACCGAAGAGGCAACATGTAAGCTGTCACACTGAGAAAGGTACTGAGCCCATGTGGCTAACATAGATAAGAATAATGGGGTAACATAAGTTATAAGAGTTAACAAGAAGTCTGACCTAATGGGCCAATCAGTTTATAACCTTATGGAGTCCTGTGTGTAATTTTTCTTTGGGATTTGCCAGCTGTTGGGGTACCGGGCGGGACAGAAGCCCCAACAAGCCGGCCCCCGTCATGTTACATTATCTCACCTATTCTTTTACTCTAACCAAAGCACTCACCATCCCCATCTTAAAGACCAGGAAATAATGGGAAACACTGGAGGAGTGTAGAAACAGCTTCCAACGCAGGTCAGCACTAAAATGCCAGACTGTTTCCACCACATCACACCCTGCTGACCCATCCCAGTTCTCAGTACCAGGACTAAACTCTGCCTTCACAGGCCTCCTCCCTGTCCCCAGCAAGTCACAGGCTCTCATAAGTCATGGCTCTTGGTGAGAGTGGTGCTTGCCTCCCAGTTACACTTGCCAGTATTTAGGAAGCATCTGATTGCTACCACTGGGGAAAAGCTACTAGGTTCTGGTAGGTAGAACCTGGGACTCTGTTAATGCCCCTGCAAGGCACAACAGTCCCTTGAAACACAGAATGGTCTCACCCAAAACATCATGAAGCTCAAATGGGTTGCAACTACCACAGGAGCTAGGTCAGACATGACTTCCTGTCTTAGTTGCTGTTGCATTGCTATGAAGAGACACCAAGACCACAGCAATCCTTACAAAGGAAAGCATTTAACTGGGGCTTGCTTACAGTTTCAGAGGTTTGGTCCCTTGTCAGCATGACTGGAGGCATGCAGGGACACAGGCAGACATGGTGCTGGAGAGAAGCCAAGAGTTCACACCTGGATTCGAAGGCAGCAAGAAGACGACACTGGGCCAGGCTAGAGTTTTTGAAACCCACCCCACAGTGACACACTTTCTCCAATGACGCCATATCTCTTAATCTCTCCCAGGTAGTACTACTCCCCAGTGACACACATACACACACACGTTTGTACTTAAATATATGAGCCTACGGGGTGGGGGGGTATTCTTACTCAAAGCACCAGTTACCTTTTTAATGAGCCTACAGATGGCATCTTACACTGCAGTCCTGCACCACTAGCATGTTTTCTGCACACGCACATTCAATAGGAATAGGTCTCACGGTCATCCCTGAAACAAAGTCCTCTCCAACTACAGAACTTTCTTCCTTCTTTTGATAAAGGTTAGGACACAGGTGGGTGTAAGAAGGAAGTAGCTGTATCAGGCAAGTGGCAACTAACAGCTCCAGTTTTGAGGAAACAATAGATTAAGAGAAACTGCAGCAATTGGATAGTTCATGTGCCCATTTCAAGGAAGTGGGTAGAGCAGGGCTGCAGGCTCAGTGGATAAAGATTCCTACTACAAAGCCTGAAACCTGAGGTCCGGCCCAGGCACCCACACAGTAGGAAAGAACTGTTTCCTGA